TCATCTTCTTGAGTGGTTTCTGCGTGTTTCATTAGAGCGGACTTTTCGGACATTTTGAGGTGTTGCTTACGTCTTCAGCATCTTTGCTGTCATCAGTTTGCTGCACCTTTTTGAGGTCCTTCTCGAATTTTGTTACCGCCACCGCTAACCTTTGAGAGTCGGCTTGCGAAATGTTCGCGGGGTGAACCGCCTGAAGAACCGACGCCTGGATTTTGAGGTAGTTTGTGACCGTCTCGTTGTCCTCACGGCCGGTCAGTAATGACGTGCCGCCGGGGAGGAGGGAGATGATCGTCTTGTTCTATGAAGTGTTAGTCAAGCCGTGCCTCCTTGGAGAGTCATCAGCAACTTACGGGGTTCTGGTCATCCCAGTCCACGCCAAGCGATTCAAACGTGTTGATTCCATACTCGGAGAATAACAGCAAAGCCTTGCCCATTTCAGGAGCATCATCTTTGCTAATCATCCGCTGAGGATCTTTACCACCGCTTGATACAGGGAAGGCCTTCACAATACGGTCGATGAAGCTTATCAGCGGCGTCAGTCCCGCCGCCTCAACCTCGGTGGTGTTCAGGCAGGCATTGTACGCGTCAACAATGAGCTTGAAGTTGTCTCTATCCGTCTGAACCTGGTCCTGGGGCAACGACGCCGTGATGAAGCCCGCGTTCGCTCCCGTCTGGTACCCGCCCTCCAGGATGTTCTTCAGGACGATCGATACCTCATCGCCGACATCGCCCAACGTCGATGCCTTACCCGCGCCGGCCGCCGGAGCATGCCTGGACTTGTAGCCCCCGCATGCCACTGCCAAGAAAGTGTGTTAGCGAATCGAGAGTCATGCTGTGCCGTCGGCTTCGGCGCGAGCTTATTGGAGTGGGAGACTCAAGGCAGGGATTGGGAGCTTGGGGCGCGGGGAAGCTTGCGGCTCAAAGGTAATGCGGGCGGGGAAGAAACAAAAGGCAAAACTTGAGTCGAAGACGTACGCTTGTCAAAGTCTGTGCACGGATCGACTTCGGTGTAGTTGACCGCGAGATTCTCAAGAATGTTTGAGGCGATCTCGAGACATACTGGGGTGGTGCAGTAGCTGCCGGTGGCCGAAGTGTTGAGGTCCGTAGGAGCCATTGTGCTTGACCCGACCTTGTCGGAATACCTATTGCTTGTAAGCAGTCGTAGACGAGAGAAAGGAAAGTTGAGAAGACGGAGGAGGTCTTACCGGGACGATCCTTAGGGTGGTAGTGAAATCAGAAGCCACGGATTGTCTCCCTTCAAGGTTCTGGGTCCAGAGATTGACTCAACGACACGGCGGTCCGCTGGTTGACGGTCTCAAAAGGCTGTTCGTCCAGTGTTAGAACACCGGGAGCTGGCATGGTCTTTATAGGTATCCACGAAGTCTGAAGGATTGGGCTCTTTCGGACAGCGTACGGAAGCCAGAAATGCAATATTGGCTAACACAGAGTGCCCACTCGGCAAATAAACTCACCCCATTCCCCCGATGCCCAAGTCAAGGCTGCTTCCCCGGGCAGCTTCCACGAACCTTGACCAATCCGAGTACATGAATCCATCGGAACTCTGTATGATGACGAGATCAATCGGGTGTAATCCCAGAGTGCATGCGGCGCGGAAAACATTGTGGGGAAGCTGGGAAACAAAAGTGCCCGCTTGCCAAGTAAGGCAATTCTCAGTGACCCCAGTTCCGGATCCTCCGCCATGTTGGATGATTGGTCGGGTCTGGCGGGAGGTTGTCGATCCTCTCAATGTGTTGCGCCCTAGGACAGGCACACGGTATGACCGATGTTATGGTCCAGGTCAAGCTTGCGACAGTGGCAGTACGCGGTATGTTTGCCAAGGCGCTCTTGAGAACGTATGCATTATTGCGACTTTTAAGCTTGCTTAGTGGCAGGGGTCCAGCTCCAGCACTAATGGAGGAAAGCATATTTGTATGTGAGGGACTGATCTTGGTGCAATTTTGCACGTGTATCTCAGGTACTTCCGCGCCTGTCAGCCGTTGCGGTTCTGCTGCGAAACCAGTGTAGTGGTGGCGTCGCCGGTCCTTGGTGTTGAGGTATGTTCTTGGGATGAGGCACCGCAGGTCGATCGCCTGGGTTGGGCATCCTGCGCGACCAGTTGTGTGCATGGAATTGGCCAATCTTTTCGTCTGGAAGCATGAGTCGGCTGGGGCGGTGGTAAGATTCAGTTACCTCATATATTGGGAAAGGTGGCACTGCCAAAAGTGCTGCATTTGGAGATCAAAGTTGTGCAGCATGCGGGTACTCGTTCGCCCGTTATCCAAACTCAACATTGTTTACTTTTTCAAAGCCCTGTCTTGGCGGTGGAATATCGTCTTTCGTCCTTCGCACGTCCATCCTGGTTTCTGGGAACCGGGGCATGGTACCCAAGAGCTAAGAGTGCCTTGCGGGGCCCCTAAACCTTGGAATGAGTCGCTCAGCCGCTTCGTGCAGCATTCCAAGGACGAGATAGATTTCTTGAAGAGGCCATGCTGAGCTACGAAGGTGAGCTGAGGGGATGCTTTCGGCTAGCAAGTCAGGTCCTCGCGGCTGACAAGGAACGTAAGTCCATGCAATATTGTGAAGACAGTCTCACGAGAGAATCGAGCCTGTCTGTACCACTTCATCACGCGAATGGTGGCGCTATGAGCCGGGCGGTATGCGAGAGGTTTGGCTGGGAAACGTCTCTCGTGACTGGGTCGCCATGAGAAGGAGAATTATGGCGGTCTCACGCTGACAACGAGGTGCTCGACGCAAATCGCCGTTGAAGTTAGGCAGTCTCGGCCGGCCTGTGGATGCGGCTTGGGCTTGGAATAAGTGATGCGATTGGGAGATGAACCTGGTAAGCCATGTAGCCCCAGAAAACCAGAGGACTTGCGGCGCGGGGTATATTGCCCGACGGGACCGTATGCTTGCGGAAAAAGCAAGTCGCGATATGAGCTGCTCGCCCGGTCATGAAGGACGTGTCGCTGAGTCGTTCAAGCTGCTTTTGAGCAATAGTTGACTACTCCTGAATCCACAGAAGCGTTGCAAGTGTGAGTACGAGTGTCGTCCTGTCATGTCTTGCAGGGCACCGGAAAGTAAGAGAAAGTAGCCTTCAATTGGAGAAGTTTCACCGCCCAAACGCCGAAAAGCTTGCTGCCACAAGATGCTGACGGGCGTTGAATCATCTGAGTGAGAAACGGAAAGGATTCAGCTTCGAGCGATGAACGGGAGGAAGGATGACAGTTGGCCCGTGCATCCTGAGGACTGCACGGACCATCGGTATAAAAGTGGGAACGAGCCGAGTATGCTCCGGCTCCGATCAAGCCACGTTTGCTCCTCAGTTTCATGCGCCACATGACGTTGACGTCAGTCACGGCAGGTCCCTTGGAGGCGAAAGGTGCTGCAGATACTTGACCACCCGGCAGCCTACAGTCAATAGACTTGACTCCCTCTGCCTCCTGCCAACCCTCAGCCATTTTTATATCGGAACTGACCTGAGGTATCCTCCTACTTGGCCGAGATTCAAGATGGCGAACACTGGCGCTCCCCCGAACTACTGTAAGTGACCCCTCACACCCCACCATAGCTCGCCACTAGGCCTAACGCTGCGGCCCAAGATGCGATCCTGGAGATCACCGAGGCAGCCACGACCCAGCAGGTTCGAGATGCATACAAGAAGTAAGTGCACACTTATGTCCCATACCTACAGCTGAAGATGCTAACCCATTTCACAGAGCCGCCCTGAAGACACACCCCGACAGGGTCCCCGCCGATTCCCCAGAGCGAGCGTCACGAACCCGCAAGTTCCAGCTTGTCAACGACGCATACTACACCCTTTCCGACACTACAAGGAGGCGCGAGTACGATGCTCAGCGCAAGATGTTCGGTGCATCGACCGGCTACACGGCCAACGACCCTTTCGACGACCCCGAGGAGGAGATCCCCCCGCAAGCCGGTCCCAACACCAACAACGCCTACTCCTGGGCTTGGAACTTCTTTACCGGACAGCAGGCAAAGACAGAGGAGCAGCGCGAGAGGGCAGACAACCAGCAGTTCGGTGATGTGTTCGAGGAGATGCTGCGCGAGGAGGGCATGGCCGAGGAGGGTACCAACCGACCGACGAGCTCTTTCTGGGGCACCATCGGTGGCGTAAGCGGCGCTGCGCTGGGTTTCATCGTCGGAAACATGCCCGGCGCGTTGGCTGGAGGTGTTGCCGGGAACAGACTTGGGGCAGTTCGAGACGCGAAGGGCAAGAGCGTCTACGCGGTGTTCCAGGTTAGTGCGAATCTGGAGATATCCACCGGGTAGATCCAGTCAGACTCTCTCTTGTGTGAAGGATTGTTGAGAACTTTGCTGACGAGATACAGGATTTGCCGCAGTCGGATCGTGCTAGGTTGCTCACACAGTTGGCTGCCAAGGTCTTTAGCCATACTGTGGGGGTTTGAGTAATGTGTTAAGCATCGGGTTGGGTTTTCTATGTCAATAGGTCAGCTTGGAGTTTGGGATTGGCACGGATTATTAGGTAGCTGAGCATCGATAGGCCTCTGAGGCATCGTTACATCGATATCAATAGATAGTTGTTTCCTGCATGAAGTTACCGGTGACAATTCGACTCAGCTAAGGGAGCAAAAGCACCCTGACTTTGCAAGGGAGATTTGCATCTGTTTGTGTACAGACAACACCGTGGCGTTTGAGCAACACCATGGCAAGCTCATTCAATGACCGCGCCAATTGATTCCATTTAGTGACACAGACGAAAGTCCGTGCCGCCATTGTAGTATGAACATACATGCGTATTGAGTTTCTCATGATGTCCCCGTTGTACGAGTTCAGACTTCCTAGTGACACCATCGTGAAGGCTCGGCAACGCAAAGACCCATTGCTGAGAAATTATTCTCAATTCCTTGGAAATGAAGACAAGAGGCAGGCCGCGACCATCTGAGTACATAAGCTGCGATGTGGGAACGGTTTCCAAGGTTGTGACAGCCGACTTATTCAACACCATTTCACTAGTCATCATGATGCTCTACTCCGCCTTCGCTGTCATTCTTCTAGCTGCTGGAACTGCAGGCAACTTTCTGAAAGAATGCGAATTCATCAGCTTCAGTCTCGGCGACAATGATAGGGACCCATTCCTGCATTACTCATGCCCCCTCAGTCAGGCGCCGTACCTCTGGTGCTCCAAGTTGAAGCTGAACGACTGCATCGTCAACAACCTTGGAAACCTGGAAGCTCGAGAAAAGTAAACAGCTGCGAGCAACTTACTACTGATCACTCGAAAGACTAACTGAGTACAGAGGAGGCTTTGGTGCGAGCTGTGACAAGTGTACTTACGACGAGAAACTCAGCAAGCTCGAGTGTTGGTGTCGCAACACAAATGGCGGGGTTCATTGGAACTCAATTAACCTCGGTGAGTAACCCACGACAATCTTCATGGAATTGAACGAGTCTCTGATATATGACAGCTGATTTCGTCTGGCTTTCTGATTCCAAGCTGGGTTGCTTCGGCGTGAAAACTGAGAGCAGTTGCAGCACCGGCCATGCGCGAATCGAGAGTGACGCTTGATACGGTCCTGCAGGATGTTTAGAACCACCTTAGAAATCTTATGCACTTGTATGATTTCATGTAATAACATTATCTGGAGCGTTTGTCGAATGAGGTCGCTGAGAGTGGACAATCCAACGAGCGAAGTAGAGATCTGGGTGCAGTTTCCTCATTAGCCCAAGGCACCAAATGCATCATCGACGCAACGCAACCATCAACACGAGTTAGAAAGAAGCAACTCAAGAGATATTGACCTAGAAAGCGACAATAAATTTCAGGTGTCCCGGATACGCTAAAGTTCTGAGATTGTCGACGTGCAGCGAGATCCACTGGTGGGGTCACACTGCCAGCTGGCGGTGCAGATCAATATGGGTCTCTTCCACTTTAGCAATTTCCATCACTCACCAGTCAAGGTGCCAGAGTGGTTAATGGGCTGCCCTGCTATCAGGTCTTCTGACAGTTGTTCAGGCAGTGGCTTCGGTCGCGCAGGTTCGAATCCTGTCCTTGACGCGTTACATTTTTGGACCATTCGAATCATCATCACATTATGAACTCTGCAGTTAATTTACCTATTGTTTTTTCAATAACTCCTGCCAGTTCTTACCAAAGATGAGACCTGTTATAAAATATCATGTGACATTAATGCATGGCCTCCTTAGAAAACCACACCCCTCCTCTGTCGATTACCTTCAACAAGACGCCATGTTAGTTTTCATGTGAGGCCTCTCGGTCTCCGCCGGCGCACTAGCATTGGGTTGAGAGGGTTTCTCATCGTCAAGCATCGTGGGGATCTTGAAGTGCTGGGTGTATTGCACTGACCCTGTGGCTTCTAGCAACGACATAAGCCACTGGATGAGGACTAGAGCCACAACCTGGACGGCTTTTCGAAGAGCTTGAGCTGATCTTGGAGACTCGCGGGAAACAGTTTGACTTGGGATCCCCTCTACAAAGGTATCTTCAGAGCCCGCCAGGTCAATCTCGTCTTCTCTTTCAGAAGTGATATTCTGTGTTTCTGGAAAGATGGGCCCATGTAGGATTTCTTCTAGCTTGTTGATATCAAGCTGATGAGGATCTCGTAGATCATCCGTCGCGGTCGTTGTCAAAGGTTCTTTGTGACCAGGCTCCATACGATGCGACAGCTGCTGAAAACTTGCTGTTGTCGGCCCTGGTACTTCGACGGGCACCGCTTCGATGTTTTCTCGTTGCATGGCCATGTTGAGACCGCGGGCTATGTTGTCAAGGCGTTTTGATGTAATTGGTCTGGACGATGAGAAGTCGATACGAGTGTACATGGAGTTGTTGCTAGTACCCGACTGTGAACAAAATTGTAGGATGTTGTGTTTGCTCTGTTTTACCATGCTTCGGAGACGACCTTCGACTTCTACGCACATAATAACTGGGTTTTTGCTGTGTTCGAATGCAAAAGCGGTGTAGAAGACATGATTGTGCAGTTGTTTCTCCGTTCCGCTCTCCCTCAGCTCCCAGACAAGTGTTCTGAGTCCTACTCCATGTTTGGCTCTCTTTCTGGTTCCCTTGAAAGTCCAGCAATCGGTGCGATCTCTGGAAACTGTGCGACGGACGCCCATTCCACTGACCTCGAAGAGCTCTCCGGCAGCTATCGTGGGGTTGATTGCCTTGTCTTCCACTTCGTGTCGCGTAGTCTGCACGCCAGCCAGGGACTGTGGACCGAAGAATTCCGTGACCTGGACGGCGTACTCAGAGCTCAGACTAGGTTGAATGTGTCTATCGCGTGAATTTCGGCCCATACCTTCGGAATTATTCTCTTCGCTCAGCGTGATGGTTACATTTGCTCTGCTGAGTGAATACCCAGAAGGTTGCCCCATGATGATGTCCATGTATATGACGCCAGCAGGCCTCTGCCCTTCTCCAAGGATTCCCCATTGCGATTTTCTCCAATGGTACTTGCAATCAACTTGCACTTTGCCAATGACTCCAGTTCCTACACAAAGATGGGATCCTCGAGCTTCTTCTTGATTGAATCGCTCGAAGTCCTGCCGGCCAAAACGGCGAAGTTCGAGCCGAGGCTTGAATGATGTTTGTCTTGTAACAGGATTCACCGTGAGCGGGATTCCCGACATGGCAGTAACTGAGTGATTGATATCGTTTAGAAGCAGTGGCGTTGTGTTTCTTCTTTCTTCCTTTCCAGAGAGGTTGAAGGTGGTGAGGCCTACAAAAGTCCAAATTTGTCACATGCATAGCTGGGCGAGAGGACGGCGCAGGCTAGCATTTGAGGGATTTTGATGCCTACTTAGCTGGGCTTGCTGCACCTTCAGCCGCACTTGCTCAACGTGTTTGGTTTTGAGACTAAAACAAGCCTGATGATTTCGCATCCATCGCCGGAGTTTCTAGTGTGTAACGTGTTCACTTAGTTTCCTGCCTAAATTATGCTCTTAGTGTGTTTAATTACGTCTTGATAACCACGATAATCTTCAACGAGGAGGACTCTCATGGAGAAGTGCGCACATGTATTTCATTAATGGTTCAAAAGACTACAAAGCTCGAAGAAAATTTGGTAATTGATCCCATGCACCACAGTTGGAAAAGACTAGATATGGCTGTTGGGAACGATTTGGACGGTACTGATTCCAAAGGGCACCTCCACGTCACTAGCCAAGATATTGAGTTGTCGGAAGTTTCGTTGGGGGTGGCGTTCTAGGGGCTGATCAGCTGGTCACGCTCCGAGAACTCTCTTAGGTTTGAAGTGGAATCAAGTGGCTAGCGTGTTCAGCCTCCAAATATCACTGGCATCACACGCTCATCATCGTAGGCATACAATGTGTTCCTCTCTTCAACACCTCGCTTTCTCATCCTCACCTACGGCAATTGAAGCTCTGCTGCTGTAACACAAGAAAATCACCAAACTAGCTCAATTTCTGGTGCAAAGCAGGTGCCAGGATGTCCTTTGTAAATAGCAAAGCATTGCCTCGAGACGCCCCAGGCCGGACCATGTTCGCTGACCACCCAAGGGCGCGGCCAGAGCCATTCAAATTTGAACAAAGAGCAGGAATGTCCATATCCGACGACGAAATTCATCACAACCATCGTGATTTGGCTCTTGGTCGCTTGCACCCAAAACGTAGGAAAGCTCCAGATGCCAAGAGTGAGATAGCCCATATCGAAGAGATAGCAGAGCGGCTTCGTCAATTTAGGGAGGATTGGAACTTGAAAGGAAACAACACTACTCGGGAGAGGAGATCTAAGCGACTTATATTGGATATTGAACAGGCGTTGAGAGCATTCGAGGAATGCGATAATGAAGCGGAAAAAGATGAAAACGCGGCCTGCTTCAAACACCCACAGACGACGTTTCCCCTGGAAGCAGATCGAGGTCGGCGACCGTATCGACGAGTCAGCTTTGCGAGCTCTTATCATAGTGTTTCTGTTCCACGCCAGAATTCCGAAGACAAGCCCGACCCAAAAGCGCCAGAACGGAGCGACCACCGCCCGCCCACTCAAGAACCAACGAGGTCAACCTTGCGAAATACAGGAATGCCATCATTCGTTGAAAAGCAATCTAGAAGCCCTCACGAAAACGATTCCCATGTCGAAGAAAATGGTTCCTCATTCGACCTGATTGGAGCTCATGTTAACCCCAATGCCCCCCAGGATATCACATTTCATCTGGAGATTGAGGCTACGGAGGACCTGGAAGAGGACCTTGAAAGCTTTTCGAGATTGAGAAGACTTGGCCAATTTACTGCGGCCATGAATCATTTCAGGAGATGTCTTCTTAACTCTTTGGACAACACATACGTTCTCGTGCAATATGGCCAGTTTCTATTGGAGTCGTCCGATATCAACGGCCTGAGCCAACTTGCGGAGAAGTTCGCCGCCAAACAATATAACACTCATCTGGCAGTCGACGACGAATGGTTCATGATTCTACTGCGAGCGTCCATTCTCACCTGTGACCCGCTGCCGGCGTTGTTGTCTCGGAGAGATCGGTCGACCGTCTCCAGATATCTGTTACAGGTTAGCTGGCCTAGACTTGATTCTACAGAGGTAGGTGAACCCGGTAGCCGAACAGGCAATTATTTTGACGAAGGCCACAGATTCAAGTATTATACAACACTCAAGGTCAGCGAGCAACACTCTGACAATGTCAGAACTATGTGTGACCTAGACCAAGTTTATATTCATCTGGTCACAGAAGACAGGATCTGGGATTTTAGAGACGTATGCTACGGGCTCCTGGAGATACTCTCATTGGACCAAAGCCTGGACTACTTATTTGGTCGGCGGGCCGCATTCAATTCAGACAGAGCAAAATTTGTCATTGGGCGTATTCGACAGGATTGGGGCACAAGTATTGACGAAGGCACTTCACTGGCACTACTCGATATTTTTACAGCACTTTCAATGAGCGCCTTGGATGATTTCGACTCCCTTTCCAGTTATACTCAGTCTCAGGACAAACACTGCAGTCTGAGTCATGCCTCAACGTACCTGAAGGTTGCTCAACATTATGCTGTGGAGGTTCGGAACCGGAACCCCGCGAACCTCAAATCTCGGCCGTATCTTCAATGGGTGCTTGCCAAGTTTCGCCTGCAGCAGTCAAAAAAACCGGCCGCCGGCCACCTTGCGCTTATTGAACATCTCAGCAAGCTTCCGGGAGACACAGTTTGGAGATACGGAATGTTCCCGTTCCGCGATCTGACCGTCTATGTTCCGCGTGCAGACGAGGCCCCTGACTGGAAACTGGAATCCTTTGTGTCTGAAGAAGAGCACGAGGCCACAAAAATGGTGCACAAAGTTGCGACCGAGCTTGGAGACATACAATTACAGGCGGCGTGTCTGCAGCTGATGATCTATTGACATGGACCGCACGCCAGATAGGGAGACAACCACACGACAATGGTTGCACGACGTATCCAAAGCCAAGAATGAGACACCATCAAGTCGCTTTGAGACAAAATCTGGCGAAGAGACTGTTGTTGAGAAGAAAGTTGGCCCTTCTGATTTCCAAGCTAAGAAGAAAGGGGTGATACCGACCCGCAACTATGGCACCAACCGGGGCAAGGTTGCTCATGATATCAACCATGACAACAACCACAAGCAAACAGTTGGTCCATCTCATGAATATACATGGGGAGAAGTGATGGAGAAAGACAAGGAAAAACACAAAAGTGTTTGAAAGAGCATAAAAGCACTACTGCTATGAATGCTACCAGATTGTATGGAGAGTTCAATATGGACGGAATAACTTATTTTTGATTGAAGTTCCAACATGTCCTCTCCCTTCGGCTTCACTCGCCCCTCTCTTTTACTACGTCGCTGGCCATTAGACGACTGGTTGTCGCTCACCATCGTGGAAGTCGTCACTCTACCCACCCGTTCCTGAACAACCGTCGACTTGATGTCCATCTCCGCTATTTGAGTCAGTTGATGAAACGGCTCATCTCAGCGCTCTGCCACCGCATTATAATTCTTTGGATAATATATACCACCAAGACGACGCGAAATCACATGGCACGTGAAGGTCAGTGAGCAGGAACTTCGTTGTGCTTGGAAATGCTAGAATTCAAGCAATCAGAACCAAAGGAGACGAGTGTTGATGCGAATGGGTTTGTCGATTTTGGATTCCCGGGTCGAGAATTTCAATATCAACAAGCAGGCAGAGCGTTGGATCTGCAGAATTCACGCAGATAGCTTGCGTCAAAATCAAGATGTGGAGGAGGAACGCAAGATGTTAATTGTCAGACAGCCAAGTACTCCCGAGTTTGAAGAAATTGCAACAAGAGGCGCAATGCCTGTAATACTATCTACTTCTGAAGAGTGCGGTCAAGTCGCCGCCCATATCTATGGTCTGGTTTCAACATCAACTTTCCTCGCTCAAGCCATCACAAAGTCCACACAGCTCTCATAAGTCTGCTTCGCGCTAGTTCCGAACCAGAACCACTGAACGACACACTGACCGGCCTGAGCGCATGTTCCAGCGGGCAGGTTGCTGGGCATGGTGATATCGAAGTTGGTGTTGTTCGCGGGCAGTTGAGCAAGCTTCTCGTCGGCGTAGGAGTCAAAGACAATAAGCGGCTCTCCGATGACTTTGTTGGTCTTCGTGTCGACAATAGAGACGTTCATCGGGCCCTCATGGGGAATGGGCAGAGCAGCGCGCATGTTGACGACCTGACCTGCCTTGAAGGTCTGTACCTGGGCCTTGTTATCCTCGAAGGTGGCGCCACGGCAGAGATCCAGCTGGCCTGCATGAGATGTTAGCATGTGATGACAGGCTCCCTAAGGGTGCTGCGGTTACTTACATGTCGCCGGAGGGTTGGTGAGGTCCTCCAAGGGGATAGTAGGGTCCGCCAAAACAGTCTGGACGTTCTCCTGTCCGCAAGCCTTCGCCATCGCGGGACCGGGAGCCCGGGCAGGAGGGGAGATGATGTTTCCGTGGGCGGAGACCATGGAGGCCAGGAGGGCCGTGGCAGCGGTGATCGAAGTGCGCATTTTGAAGGCGGTATATCGGACTGACGAAAACGGATTTGAAAGAATTCGAAGAAAGAGTGGACAGCGAGACTGCAGGTATATGAAGGAGAGGACGAATGGAAATTAGACCAAGCGGGAAACGAGTGACCAGCACAATTGATTGTTTGATGAGACAGAAAGTGATGAAAGACCGGATGAATGAAGATGGGGCCAGGCGGGCGGCCTTGCACTACAAATACCAGAATCTGGCCTCAGCCCGGCGTCTACGATGTCTGCCACATCCCGGTCCGACAGGATGGACGAGGATCAATGATTTGACAGTGATGGGCGGCGATCATAGCTTTCCCCTTGCGACCCTCTCCCCGACGGCGCGCGTCCGGATGCACGGGAACTAACGTCGTTGGCCCCGTTCTTTGCCTAGTGCGATCTGGGTTTTCCTCCAAACCTACCCGGGGATGATCCCTGGGCGAAACGAGAGTGCTTGAGGCTCTTCGAAGAGAGCTCAAGACAAGCTTGGTGGGATCCACGTGGGTGAAACGTCGCAAGTTCTTGTGCCGTCCTGCTTCCGGCGCATTCAGTAAGGGTCATGGTCACATCCTGCGACAAACCCTGTCTGGGGGTGTTCGTGCAGCGAAGAAGCGAGAAAAGAGAGAAGCCCGATAGCGAAGAGAACCGGCAGTTTGTGCTGAGTTCGATTGAACTGAGTAATTCGGATTTTTAATCAACGAAGTCATGACGACGCACTCTCTGCTTCGATCGCAGCGCCAAGCCATCAGTTTGGACGCACCACCACCCCGATGAAGAGATCGGAAGGGAGGGCACCTAACCGGCGGCGCGGATCCCTTCGGAGACTTGGGCACGCTGGTTGGTCCAAGACCTCCCGAATTGACATCTGGAGCCCGGTAGAGTGGATCGGGATTTACGGCGCGGAGTCTGGGGTGTTTTTCTTAGAGCATCCGCTACCTTTTGGCCCTGATCTACGGCAGGCACCATGTTCTCAGCATTGGCGCCAAGTCGACTAGAACTTCCCGTGTAGGGGATCAACGAGTCATAAGACAATCGCTAAACAGACACGGGGCTAAACATGCCACTCCGTGAAGACTGAAGAGAAAATCAATCATCCGCCAAAACTGAGTCCACCGCGAGGCCTACCTCCTGAGCGTCAGGTTTGCGGGCGAGCAGAATAATTGAAAAGCATCCGGACCTGATGACAAGACCAGCCTTCCCAGAAAACAACACGCCAACAAAGTTAGACGCGCGACAGGACCAACGGCGCTAGATTGCGCCCCTGCATTAGGCATTGTCAGTTCGTTTTCGTAGCCCCTTTGAGATCAGGCCGAAGCCGAGCCCAGAAGCCTATTTTGTGGGCTCCTCCTCCTCGGAATCTTGTTTGGGGCACAGCGTCATGCTGCCGCGGGCGCTGCGGATTCGTGGGGGGCGCGGAGACCGACTCGGCGGAAATTAAATGAAGACCCTTCCATGAACTCGGATCCGCGATCCGACTCAAAAGAAGGTTATTTCATTCCCTCGAGGATTGAATGCCGCCCCAACCGTGACGTTACTCAGGAACTCGGCATATTGCAGAGCCCCTTGATAAGCGGCAATTCAGATGTCCGGTGGAAAGCACTTTAAGCTTTAATTTCAATGACACGACCTACGACTCGGCGCTGCAGAATTCCTTGGTAGGTTGAGTCTCGGGGTTGACATGTTTTAGCTCTTATCATCTCCACAAGATTTTGTTTCCCTCGCGCGCTAGTGGACATTGACCTCTTGAGATGGGCAGATGGAACCCACGGGTGAGAAGCTCAAGGCCTCTTCAACTGGCATTAGAGATTAAAGTGTTGAACCTTCGGGCCTGTTCGGGTTTTACTTACTTCTTTCGCGCAGTTATACTTCAGTCTGCTATATGCCGTCCGATGCGCAAAGATGATTCACAGTTTAGCGCCGAAGACTGTTGAGAACAGCTAAACTTGAACTGCGATGCTTGCGAGTCAAGCACGGCGTGCCTGCCTCACTTTCTGCCCGATAAGGTTGCACTTAGACGACTCCAAATCTTGCCTATTCCAACTTCAATCGGGAAGATGAGTAAACCGTCATCAAGACATGACGAAAATGAAATCATCTTGAGGAGGCAAGCGAGTTACGACGTTCATTTTCATTCCCATTTAATCGAAGGCGGAAGAAAACACACAATTCCGTCGGTTTCCACAGTGATCAGCTTGCCATTGAGATCGGGAACTCTGTGATTACTTCTTGAATAGCCCAGATCCAGTGCGGCACTCGAAAGGTAAACTTCGTGGATTGTACAAGTAATAAAAGAAGTAAAATATTGGAGACAGAACTTTGTTCACGGGCTGTGATACGTTTCTCGTTCATTAGTGCTGCGACTTTGTTTGAAGCTATTGCATCCTGTAAAATTAAACGTGGTTTTCAGACGAAGCCATACATTCAATATCGCGATGGCTGGGTCGGGAAAACAATCCGTGAACCATCTGTCTTTACTTTTTTCTAAGGGACATCAATAGCGCTTCTTATCTTAAGATTCTGAGCGATTTACATGTGATTATTTATGGCTGTAAGGTGGGAACCATTCTTCTCTCGGATTCTTGTCTCTTGCCGAAAGTCAGATTGGAGGGGAAAATCACATATTGGGGAACGGAAAGCTACCAAGGCAGTTTGAGCCAGTAAGAGGCGTCTCGAGTGCCATGGAGGAGCCATTGACAACACTCTTCGGGCGAAGCAATACTCAGTTACGGTATCCAATAGTCTGTCAACGTCATTCCAGAGCCGCTTGCTCTTTTGATGAAAGGCGAAAGTGAGCACCTGAGTTTTACTACCACAAGGATCTGCGGTTTAAACTAAGAAACCTTCAGCAACCATCCAGATGCGTCAAATACTCGAGAAAGCGATACAATGTTGCAATGATGCCCATCGTAACAGTACAGTTCCGACCTCTTGCGATAGACTGGTCACAACTTCTCACGGATAGTGAATACAACCGATGCGTATCGCCAAGTGCCTTACCCATGTCTTCAAAGAACAAAACCAACAGAGGTCTATTGCCCTCACAATTATCTCGCTCAGAAGCCCGACGGTAAGGTATGGAATAAGTGTAAGAATTTCTGAATAACGTTTGATTACATACCAGCTGAAACCTTGAGAACATGGGCGTTCCTTTCGATGGACTGAGTGGACATGAAGCCTAACGAAGCAAAATCTGAGTTCACGTCTTGAGTTCAATAAGAGTAGAAAGCTTGACACATATATGCTTCAATCAGCAAATAATCTAGATAGTGTGGCATTGCCAGTGTCTTTAGTGTTCAAGTTTCAGGAACGGAGAGCGCCGCGCCGCCAACCATACAGGTCCACGTATGCGGGAATGAGAATAT